TCTTTTTTTTTTTTTTTTTTTTTCCTTTTTCTTATGCGTTTCGTTATTATCCGTTTGGAGGGGAGGCATATCTGTTTTCCAATCCGTTTATGATGACCTCCTCGGTCGCTGAATCGCCAGATCCCGTTTTGAAAGAGGCATAGGATATGTCGATTCAGCGGATATGGCCTTATAATAGGATATGACCTGTTAGGATTATAAGGGCATCACGGGTGATCACAGGTGATCTCTCTCTCTCTGTTCCTACTACTACTACTACTACTACTTCTTCTTCTTCTTCTTCTTCTTCTTCTTCTTACTACTACGACTACTACTACTACTACTACTACTTCTTCTTCTCTTCTTCTTCTTCTTACTACTACTACTACTACTACTACTACTACTACTACTACTACTGGACGGTGACGTGTCATGGGTGAGCGCCAATGTAATGTCTCAAGGAAGGCAAAGGAAAACAGATCATCTGCATCACCAGGCTCCACTTCCCGGCTTCGTTGCCTCTCTATCTTCTTCCCCCGAATACAACACACGGTCATTATAGCTGTGTTTAGACTGAAAGATGCCCCAAATACAGCTGTAATGACCCTGCGTTGTATTGGGAGGAAGAAGGTAGCTACGTCTTTGTTTTTTGTCCTTCCTCCTTCCCCGTACCTCCTTCCCTCCCTCCCTCCTCTTTGCCGCCTTCCTTTCTCCATCTCGCTTCTTCCCTGTCTCCCTCTCTCCCTCTCTCCCATCTCTCCCTCTCTCCCATCTTTCCCTCTCTTCCCTCCCCCCTATCCCTCTCCCTCTCATGCTTGTTTCTCCTCTCCCTCTCTCTTCCTTTCGCCCTCCCTCTCTTGCCTCCTCCTTGTCTTTCGCTCCCCTCTTTGCTTATGTCACACACACACACACACACACGCGGAGAGAGAGAGAGAGAGAGAGAGAGAGAGAGAGAGAGAGAGAGAGAGAGAGAGAGAGAGAGAGAGAGGTGGTTGACTGATGCAAATTGTGTTTTGTGTGTTTGTGTGTGTGTTGGGGGGGGGTGGATGGGGTTTTCAGAGGACCGGTTGGTGGAGCTGAGTCGGGACAAGGACAGGGCGGTTACAAACCTTGTGTGGCACCTGAAGAGAATGTTTGGGAGCACGTGGGGAGAGGTGTTTGGGGAGGGAAAGGACCTCGCCCCAAAGACGAAGGGGGATGGTGCGAGAGACGAGGGCATCCCAGGTGGCAGTCCGGCGGTTCTGATCATTTGCAGCTCAGCCATGCGATGCGTCGATGTCCTCAAGTGAGTGAGTGAGGGAGGGAGTGTGCAGAGAGCCTGTGGAAGCGAAGGTATTCCAAACCTAATCAAGGGTGCTCTGCTGAATGCCGAACCTAATTCGAACCTAATCAGAACCTAATCAGAATCTATTCAGAATCTAATCAGAATCTAATCAGAATCTAATCGGAATCTGATCAAGGATGCTGTGTGGTGTATTGCCGAGCAGATTAGTGCCCTGATCAACGGTGTTCTGCCGTATGCCCACTGAGTCAAGGGTCTTGATTTTTTTCCCTTTACAATTAAGATTAAAGACGAGCAAAAGAAGTTAGTCCTTCCCTCGCCCCCCCCCCCCCCTAAAAAAATAAAAATAAAAAAAATCAGCCGTCCTCTGCTGTGGGTTTGGCTGATCGATTCGCTGGGGGGGTGGGGGAAGTGGGGGAGGGCGGTAAGAACTCGAAAATCGTTGATGTACCCCAGTAGCTGGGGTTACTGTACCTCTGGTTACTGCAGCTCTGGTTACTGTACCTCTGGTTACTGTACCTCTGGTTACTGTACCTCTGGTTACTGTAGCTCTGGTTACTGTACCTCTGGGTACCAGAGTCAACTAGCGAGAGGAACCAGAGCTCCGGTAACCAGTAACTACGGTAATAACTAAGGTAACTAGTAACTAAGGTAACCAGACTCAACTAGTGAGAGTAACCGGAGCTCTGGTTACTAGTTACTAGTTACCTTAGTTAACCTTAGTTACTAGTTACCGGAGCTCTGGTTCCTCTCGCTAGTTACTAGTTACCGGAGCTCTGGTAACCGTAGCTACGCAGCTCTGGTTGCTGTAGCTCTGGTTACCAGAGTAACGAGTAACTACGGTAAGTTTGTGTAACTGGAGCTCTTGTAACCGTAGCTAAGTACTGTAGCTCGGGTTAGGACTGTACCTCTGGTTACCAGAGGTAACTAACGAGAGTAACCAGACTAACTACGGTAAGTTTGCATAACTGGAGCTCTTGTAACCGTAGCTAAGTACTGTGGCTCTGGTTACCGTAGGCAACTAGCGAGAGATTGACCAGAGTAACCAGAGTAACTACAGTAAGTTTGCATAACTGGAGCTCTTGTAACCATAGCCAAACATCTCTGGTTGCTGTCGCTCTGGTTACCAGAGCTAACTAACGAGAGTAACTACAGCTTTGGTAACCAGTAGCTACCGTCTTCACCCGAGTAGAACGCCTGGTCATTATAGCTGTGTATTTGGGGTCACTTTCAGTCCTCTGATGAATGGATGTATACCGATACCCCTCTCTCTCTCTCTCTCTCTCTCTCTCTCTCTCTCTCTCTCTTTTTTCCGTCGTGTGTGACCCATCCCTGCCTTCCCTTGATGACACTGAAGATTCATCATGAGTGATGACGTGGATGATGAAGAGCGGTGATGATGTGGATGTTGAAGAGATGGAAGGCAAGGGTGATAGATACAAGCAAGGCTTTTTTTTCTTTTTCTTTTTTTTTCCTTTTTCTTAATGTAGGGAGACAGACCAGAAAAGAAAGGGGAAGAAAGAGAAGGTGCGCTACCGTTCCGTTCGATAAATTCTAGGTTCTAATTTCACTCCCTTTTTTTTTTTTTGTGTGTGTGTGTGTGTGTTTGGATTGGCTTTTGCTATATTCCTGTTTTGGAAAATTCCTATGTGATCCCAATCCTCTATTTTTCCCTTTCCTATTACGACACTCCCTTTTCCTCTTTTCTGCTTGGAGGTGCGCTACCGTTCCGTTCGATAAATTCTAGGTTCTAATTTCACTCCCTTTTTTTTTTTTCTGTGTGTGTGTTTCGGTTGGCTTTGAGGATCCAGGGCTTTGCGGGACTCTGTCGGGAAGCGGGGACCCCGACTCGCAAAGCTGTTTGCGAAGCATCTCAAGGTGGAGGATCAGGTAAGGCAGTGAAGACAAAAAAAATTCAAGTTGAGTGGAAACCAGAAAAAAAATCTAAGTCAACTTAGTCAAGTGAAAACCACAGCTGATTGTTATTGTTATTAGCTGACGATTATCTTTTTTTGAAAGTGGAAAATAGAACTACAGCTAGGCTGAGCTAGCCAAAAAAAAAGAAGAAAAAGGGGGGGGGGGGTAAGAGTTAAAAAAAAAAAAAAAAAAAAAAAAAAAAAAGGGAAAAAAAAAAAAAAAAAAAACGAAAAAGAAAAAGGAAAAGGAAAAAGAAGTTAAAAAAAGGAAAAAAAAAAAAAGGTGAGTTGCACATCTGTGGAAATGTGTGCCTCCCTGCGAACTTGGATTCTTCAACCTCTCGCATTCCACCCTTTCCATGCGCAAAAATTCACGGACTGAGACACGCAGCTGATTTCTGAGTTAGCCGATTATGTAAGGACCTGCCAAAAACGCGGACTGAGACACGCAGCTGATTTCTGAGTTTTGCCAATGGAATGTATGCCTTGCTGAGTTTCCCTCTTGTTGCTGAGTTTTCGAAGTCTGTGTGTGTGTGTGTGTATGTGTGTGTTTGTGTGTGTGTGTGTGTTTGTGTGTGTGTGTGTTTGTGTGTGTGTGTGCTTACTGGTCTGCGTGCCTGTCTGAGTGCTTGTCGGTTTGAGTGTGTGTGAGTGACCCGCAAGGGTACTCGTCCGTGGGGGGGGCCTGAAGGGCCGGTACGTACCTGTGGCCACGACATTGAGGGTTGCAGCGGGGAAAACACTCAAGTGGCGGGGAAAGAGGCCGCCGCAACACTTAGAGCAGTGGAAAAACACTCAAGGAGCAGGCAGGCCGGTACCACACAAAGTAGAGGTAGATGTTCCGGGTACTCGATGCCGAGCAGAAGAAGACAAAGTTGGCATTTTTAGAGGCCCAGTAGTTGTAGGCTAGGTCTAGGCGAGTACCAGTCCAAGTAGTCTTGAGTCTAGGGCCTGTACGGGCAATTTTATCAGAGTCTGCAATGATGTTTCCCTCCAAAAGGGAGGAGGTACCGGTTGCTTGGAGGCCGTGTGGGCTGGAAGTCACCACCGCCCAAGACGCAAGCAGGCTGCTATATCTCCTGGAGGAGCAAAGAGCTCCTCCTCGTTCTACGGTCTACAGTCTGCAAGTTTGGCGACGCACTGCTTGGAGCGCTGGCTGGAGCGGCGCTGCTGGGGAGGAAGGAGCGCCCAACTCTCCTCCTCGGCTATGGTGGAGGACCACGGGCTTGAGGAGGAGGAAGGCGAGGACTAGGAAGGGAGGGGCGGGACGCCAGAGGTACATACCTGGCTATGGTGGACGCCATATTGAAGGCCCCAGTTGGGGTAGAGCTACTTCAAGAAGCTTCGAGGCAGAGTCGGGCATGGCGGGCGGAGCTAGAGCAGCCATAGCTGCTTTGAGTTGTCTTTTGCACACCAGGGCAAGGCCCTTGCAGTCCGCCATAGCCTCGGCCTTCAGGAAGAGGAAGGAGAAGGGTGGCCATGGCTATGGTGGACCTCGTGTTGTACCTGCAGTAGAAGAGAGGGATTCGGACATTGATTCTGGTTCAGCCATTCAATATTATTATTATTATTATTATTATTATTATTATTATTATTATTATTTATTGTTTGAATAAGAGGGGAGGAGAAAAAGAAGAGGAGAGTGGTTGGTGAGAAGAAGGGAATTATCATTGGTCTTTGCTGGTGTACATCTTCTTCTTTCTTTCTTTCTTCTTTCTTTCTTTCTTCTTCTTTCTTTCTTTCTTTCTTTCTTCTTCTTTCTTTCTTTCTTTCTTTCTTTCTTTCTTTCTTTCTTCTTCCTTCTTTCTTCTTCCTTCTTTCTTCTTCTTCTTCTTCTTCTTCTTCTTCTTCTTCTTCTTCTTCTTCTTCTTCTTCTTCTTTCCCTCTCTCCCCTCTCAAGTTCATTTATTTCTTGTTGTAATTGGACGGCATTGTGCTTTCTCATGAATTTGTACTTCGGAATTGGGCAGGATCATATCAGATTACCTATTAATAGCTATTATTTTGCTAAATCTTGATGACATTCTAGTAGGAACATTGGATACATTGTGTGCCTGCATCAGCTCCTCCATCCCATCCATCTTAGTGCAACTTCTCTGACTCTCCTCTACCTCTTCCCTCCCTCCTCACCTCCCATCTTTCAAGAACAGTACCCTGACGTTCGTATGGCTGTCTTTCATCGACAGGTGCAGCAATTGAAGGACAGAGTTGATATCGCAGCAGGCACACCTGCCAGGTAAGGCATGCATGCATGCATGCGCCTGTCCCCATGCACGTATATTTTCATAACGTAACACGTCCATTCTGTTTGTTCTGAAGACCATTCTCAAGGTAGATGAATCAGCAGTTGATTGCCCCTCTCCCCCGGCCCCATAAAAACAGGCACAGCAGGCACACCACCACCACCACCACCACCACCACCACCACCACCAACAACAACAACAACAACAACAACAACAACAACAACAACAACAACAACGGTGATGCCACCAAAAAATTAATTGGTGACGACAATGACTATGATGACGACAACAACACAGCAACACAACAACACCAACAACACGACAACACCAACAACATGGACAGAACTCACGACTAGATGATGCCACCAAAAACGACTATGATGACGACAACAGCACAGCAACACAATAACACCAAGAACACCAACAACAAGACCGACACCGACACCAACGCCGACACTGACACCAACAGCAGCAGTAGCAGCAGCAGCAGCAATAACCGCAACAGCAACAACAATGACAACAAAAATGATGATGTCGACAACAACAACAACAACGACAGCAGCAGCAGTAATAACAACAGATAATTGCGACTAATCGCCCATGCATTCTATTCTGGGAAAGAAGACATTATTAATTGATCTGTGGACAAGACGACTCGGCAAATCTGTTCGCCATGTGGAATGTTTCCTTGCACTCCCATCTTGCTGTCTTCTTTTGCAGTCTGCATGGAATAACCGTGATCCGGTAGTCCCACATCCTAGTTCGCCCATTTGTCCACATTGTTTGAGCATGTATCGACGTCTGTGAGTATCGTATAGGCATGTGCTGGACGGATGGACTGTGAGCCATGCTGTTTTGCTAGAGACAGTCAAGTTGGGTCGTTTATGCATAACAGATGTGCCTGTCTATGAAGTCCAGGCAGGGATTGTATAGACATACATATATGGATAGGCATTCCCAATAGAGTCTAGAGTCTAGAGTCTAGAGTCTAGAGTCTAGAAATGTGTTGTGTAGTTCTAGGCATGGCATATTCTATAGCCAGGCATGCCCATGTTCTATAGGCCTGCGATAGACAGGCATGCTTATGCAGAAATCTTGTATGGGCATGGTATACGCAGGCATGCCTATACTTTATATAGACAGGCAGCTGGTGCATGCCTCTATACTAGCGTTGATAGTACTTGATACTATATTGTATAGACCTACTATAGACCGGCGTACAAAGACTGGGATTCCAGGTGAACCGCAAATACTGCTATCGGTTTAAGTCTGCCTCTGACTACAACCTACTTTAGTTCTCAGAATGTGAGTACACTCCTTGCATATGGTTTTCAATCGAGTTCAATTAGCAGGTGGGCCGACTGTTTACTGCATTAGCCTGAGCAGACAAGGCAGAAGGGAACTGGCGCCTTTAGGATTGCGACTCGTCACACTCCTAAAGCATGTCTGAACAGGCAGAGAAGTAATGCTTAGAATTGTGACTCGTGTCTTATTCCCAAAGCTGACTTTCTCATTGCGTTCTCATTTTCTTTCTTTATGTGTGTGTCTGGCTTTTGTTTTCTTTTGGTGCGCGCGCGTGCGCATGTTTGTGTGTGTGTGTGTGTGTGTGTGTGTGTGTGTGTGTGTGTGTGTGTGTGTGTGTGTGTGTGTGTCCTTGTAAAATAATTGTGGTGTGTGAATTCGGGATTTTTGTTTTGAACGCAGATTGCAGAAGCTTGTATCGGTTGGTGCTCTCGCTCTTGATCGACTGAGATACCTGATTTTGGACATGCACAGAGACGAGAAGACGTTTACGATGTTTGACATACGCGAAGTAAGGTAGGGCTTCCTCTATACGATCGAAAGAACCTAAGTATCTGTATATGTGTGTGTTGTAGGCCGGAAGGCAGCAACACACATACATCTATCGGTGGAAGGTAAGTAAGCAATATCGTATAGTATGCCGCAATAGTATATAGCATGATTTTTTATTTTTTTTTTCTGTACAGAATATAGTACAGTATGCAAATGGAAACCCTAAAAGAGAAGAATAAGAACAGAAAGTCCAATATGGTGTGGTATGGAACAGGGTATGGTACTGGTGTCCCATGGGACAGGGTATGGTACTGGTGTCCCATGGTACAAGGTGTGGTGTGGTGTGGTATAGTACAGTACCATACCTATGGTATGGTGTTTTTAACCATGGTA